GCTGCAAACGCGCTTTCCTTGGGGCAGCTCCTGGGACCCCTGCACCACCGCTGGGGTGGGGCAGGTGCCCTTGGCGCTGGAGTCTGACCTCGGCTTCCCCGCCCCCAGCCTATCCGCTCGGGGCAAGCCTTAGAGAGGAGCCTGGAAGAGACATCCCCTTCCGCCCCTCAGGTAGCTGGAGGACCTCCCGCAGTTCTGGGGGAGCCCTCGCCTCGGCCACAGCCTTCCCCGGGGAAATTCCATGGAGATGCCAACCTCGTCTGCCCCTCCACCTTACCCACGAGACCCCTCTCCCGCCCCCTCCGGGGTACCCGCTTCCTCCACTAACCCCCTACCCTGTACAAGCGGCAGCTGCCAGCCTGCTGCCAGGGGTCCCATGAATAGGGGACGCTCCCAGGTCTTGAGCACCATCGCAGTCTGGCCACAGCCTTTGGCCAAAGTGAGGGCCCGCCTGGGGCCGGGCAGAAATCGGGGCCCTGACTGCGTCCAGAAAAAGGACTGGGACCTGTCATCTCCCACCCAGCAATCTCCCCGCCTCCACGAGCAGATCGGGGCTCTCCTCGCTTGCACCAGGAGCTCAGCCTGTCCCTTGGCTCAGTGCTCCCTGCCCGGCCTAGGGAGGGAGAGAGGCAGGAGGCTATCCTGGGCCTGGTGATCGGCCTCCTCCCAGAGCCCTCTTAGGCAGGGCTTCTCTCTCTACCGGCTGGCTGTGTGTGGGTGTGTATGTGCGAGACTGAATGAATGCAGCCAGCCTGCTCCCGCCACCGCCTATAGAGCTAGCAGCTTCCAGGGCTCAGAGTCCAAATGCAGCCGTACTTCCACTATTTCTTCCTGACCCAGGAGCAAGCAGGGGGGATTACAGGCTGAGGGGACTGAGATCCAAACCATCTTGGTTGCAGGTGCCCTTGCAAGTGTGGGGAGCTGAGCAGATATAATACACAGCAGTGTGTGCCCATGGAGGGCAGCTGGTAACCCCTGGCTGGGACAGCCTGGAGCAGAAGAGAGGGCCTTGCCTGGGGAGTTGGGATTGCTCTTCGTGTGGGATCTTAGGCAGCTCACCTCTTTCTGGGCCTCAGTTTCCTTAGCTGTAAGATGGGGTAAGGGTAACTACTGTCTTCCCCGCCTCCATGAGGCTGTCGTGGAGATGAGATGATGAAAAAAAAGGGCTGATAAAAACTGTAGAGTGCCGTGCAACTGTAAGTGACCACATAGTGATACTAAGAATCACTCCTGCAGCATTTAGACGCTGGACTCTGCCTTTTCACAGGTCGAAGTGGGACTAGGGAATGCCAGCCTCTCCCATTCCCTCCTTGTGCCCCTCTTACTGATTGCCCCCTCTTTTGGAGCTGGGACATTCCAGTCCCATTCCTCAGGGGCAGCTGCAGTCATGCCCCTCAGCAAAGCTGATCCCGAAGCAGGTGGTGGGACCCTCCCCTGGGGCCAGGGCTCAAGAGGGGCTAAAGGCAGCCAAGGCCAGACTGGGAGCTTCCTACCCGAGTACTCTGGGTGCACCCCAGAGGAGATACACAGTGGGGTCAGGGCAGGCTTCTAAACGTGGGGAGCGTGTGTACATTTTCCTATGCAGCTGAACATGGCCTTAGGCATGTTTTACCTCCTTGGCCTCAGTTTTCTCTTCTGAAGAGGGGGATGACAATATTCCCTTCCCATGTGTGTTGTGAGCACGTGGTAGGCCCAGCAGCAGGCTGACTCAACAAGGCACCCACCAAGGGACACTGGGATGCCTCCCTGAATGTCCTCTCTTTTTCTGCTTCATGGCCAGGGTGGTCCCCCAGCCCTGTTCTCCTGTCTCCACCAAGGGTTTGTCCAAAGGAGATGCTCCCAGTGTCCAGGCTCTCCGTGTTTCTGGCTAATCTTGGAGCGGGTGGAGGGGGAGGTGGAAGCAGGAGTAAAGGGGCCCTGTTGGGGCCAAACTGTGCAGAATAGGACCTATGTGGCCCAGCCGAAACCTTGCTGGCAGGGCGATGGGGTGATGGTGGTGAGGTTCAGCTCTGTGCAGAGCTCTGGTCCCCAGGCACGTATGAGTTCTGGGCGGGGAAGCCCAGGCACTTGGAAGAAGAGGCCCTGTTTTTCGCTCTGGCGGTCCCAGAGAGGCTGCAAGGCACTTGCTGTCTCTCCCTCCCTCCTCCCCCCCCCCCCCCCCACCGCCCCCCACATCCTCTCCTGCACAGCTGCTCTGGCCTGAGTGGACCAGTCCCTGGGCTTCCAAGCAATGGGAAGGAACGTGTGTATTGGGGGTGTGGGGGAGGCAGGGGAGGTGGATGGACTCCTTTAGGAAAAAGGACTGTCCCCAGACTGAAACCTGGGCAGGGTGGAGCCTCCCAAAAGCCAGGGGCCTTGGCCCTACTGGGGGAGCTAATAATATAGCCAGAGAAGTTATCTAGGAGGGGTGGAGGGTGGAGGGTGGGGGCCTTAGGGAAAAACAAAGACAAAAGGAAGGGGTGGTGG